CTTACCGCAAATCTTGAGAAGTCGCAGCCACGGGCCTTCCTGGAGCAGAGCCGGTATCTGGGTGCTGTCATTTCAGCAACGTATTCGTGCGGGAAACCGTCATGTTTCCTCCTAATTGGCCATATAGAATTTTTTTTTTCATATATAAGCTTTTTAAGGGAGGCGGGAAGTTCACATTTGAGAACGGAGACCTGTCGTGTCCTCTGGAGAGACTTGCTGTCAGGAGGCCTGAGAGAGAGCTATGTGACAGGAGGTGTCCCTGAGGTGTCAGCTCTCCTGTCTTTGGTGGGCTCTCTGCGGAGGGGGAGGGGCCTTCGGTGGCACTCTCATTCGTGCATTCATCCTTATATGTGTTGAAAATATATTAGATATAACCCAGCCGGTGTGGCTCAATGGTTGAGCATCAATCTGTAAACCAGAAGGTCACAGTTAGATTGCCATTCAGGGCACATGCCTGGGTTGCAAGCTCGGTCCCCTGTGTAGGGCGTGCAGGAGGCAGACGACCAATGGTTGTCTCTCATCATTGATGTGTCTATCTCTCTCTCCTTCTGCCTTATCTCTGAAATCAATAAAATAGATTTTTAAAATAAATGAATAAAAATGCATTGTATATAAAATTTACAACCTTATTCTTTCAAATCAAATTGTAGCAAAGCCTTTTGTACAATTTTTTTGTGTTTTTTTTTAACAATATTTGATGTTTCTATCTCTCTCTCCTTCTGCCTTCCTCTCTGAAATCAATAAAATAGATTTTTTAAATAAATGAATAAGAAAATGCATTGTTTATAAAATTTACCTTATTTTTTCACATAAAATTGTAGCAAAGCCTTTTGTATATTAATGTAAACCATTCTTCAGAAGCATCATGCTAATGACATTTCTCATCACATTCCGATTGTTGCTTTATATGTTTATGAGAAACATCCATATACATATACCTTTGGCCATATCTCTATGATGTTGGGATAGAGTCCAGAAAGTGAGGTTAAATTTGGGCACAATGACAGCTTTTGAAAGCTTTTCCTGCTCTCCCTCCCACCCCCACCCCAAGAGTCCCACTCTTCTGCCATGCCTCAAAAGGCACCTCATTTGGGGAAGACCTAGTGGCAGATGGCACAAAAAGACAAAAACAAGGTGGTTTACCGGTACGATCCCTCTCGGTACCTTCACTTTACAGTCCCAATAATGGAGCACCATTCCGTTTGGGATTCCATCTGGGGAGTGTGGCCTCAGGAACGCCTCACAGTACAGTCCGGTCAGTCCATGTGTTAAAAACTTGTTCCAAGAACAGCGTTCTGGAGGTGCCCCAGGGTGAAAAGACTCTCTGTTTGCCTTAAGCTGAGTTGAATGTCCTCCTCGTATTTATAAGGGAGCACTTTGCACAGAAACACCACTCCGCCAACCTGTCCACTTCAGAACTTGAACACCGGGTTCTTTTCACTTGCGTTTGGAAAGAACACTGTGACCAAATCCTTGGAGGCCGGTGATCACATGAACTGCTTTATTCACTATCTGTTGGTCTCTGCGGCTAAGGAGACTGCAGTCCTAGAGGCTGTTCCCGAGAGTAAGAGGAAAAGTGCCCCAGCACCAACCAGATCCAACTATTCAAGGCCACTGCAAGCCAGATCCAACTATTCAAGGCCCCCGCATGACAGACGCGGGTTAGCCTCAAGAAGAACCAGGTCAGAACGTGTGTGTGTGTGTGGATCCGTGCAATTAGGAAAATGACCAAATGTTGACAGACCAGCTGCAGTAATTGTGCATCGAAGCATATGGGCATGAGCCCCTCCTTATCACCCTAGCTCCCAGGGCAAAACTGAAATGATGGCTTATATCTAAAGACTCAGCTTGGTCCAGCGGCCTTCTTACAAATCCAAAACATCACCAGTCGATGGACAAGCTAGTTATTTTTTCAGACTTAGCATATGTCATTGTCATCCAGCGAGGAAGAAGGCATCATGAAATACTTCCACGTGCTTTGAACTGGCAAAACTGTGTTTATGCCATCTCATGGAAACCAGCCAGAGGCATGCTATTGATGAGGTTTACTGATGCTGAGGTCAGGAAATTACAGCTCTCTGGCTACATGTTTCACTGCAGACTGGGTCAACAGCCTTATGAACTGACATAGATTCTGTTCAAACTGTGGAGGGGACCGTAAGCAAGCACCAGGAATACAGATGAACAGTCTGTGGCCTAAAGAAGTCCCATCACACGTACAAGATCCCGTGGCTAGTTAGAGGCGATCTGGGTCTTTCTTTTTTTCTTTCTTTCTTTTTTTTAATATATTTTATTGACTTTTTACAGAGAAGAAGAGAGAGGGATAGAGAAACATCGATGAGAGACATCGGTCAGCTGCCTCCTGCACACCCCCCATTGGGGATGTGCCCGCAACCAAGGTACATGCCCTTGACCAGAATTTAACCTGGGACCTTTCAGTCCGCAGGCCGACGCTCTATCCACTGAGCCAAACCGGTTTCGGCCGATCTGGGTCTTTATCCATGCTCAGTGTTCCTTCTAGTCCTGCATCAGCTGTATCTCTGGCCATGTCCATGGGGACTTGGCAAGGCCAGTGGTGCTTGGCAGAACTGGCTGAGAGAGAGCCCTGGGTATGTGAAAAGACATCTTTTTATTATGTTGCTGTCACCTGCACAGTAGTGGAATTTTTTGATGCAGCCGGGCGACTGACAGCCATCTACTTGTCTTCATTTGCATCTCTTATGAGGAAATAAAATTCATTTAAGAATTCCAGCCCCTTATTTATAACAAACTCCTTCCTCATGCATGAAGGAATAGCTCCAAATCAAGATTCTTTTCCTGATGACATGCAAACCAGTTACAGTGAAACATGTAACCAGAGAGCTATTATTTCCTTTACCTCGGCATCATCCAACCTCATCAATAGCATGCCACTAACTGGTTTCCATGTAATGGCATAAACACAGTTTTGCCAGTTCAAAGCACATGGAAGTATTTCATGATGCCTTCTTCCTCGCTGGATGACAATGGCATATGCCAAGTCTGGAAAAAAAAAAAAAATAACTATCTTGTTCATCGACTAGTGATATTTTGGATTTGTAAGAAGGCAGCTGATACTCAAAGCAAGTCTGGACTCTATTTCAAAAAGCTCACAATTAAGTAGGAGAAACAGTCTTGGGAGGGAGTGATCAATGCGATAAATCAGGAACTTCCTATTGTCACCTGCTGGCCACGTTTGAAGTCCTTGGTAAAGAAAAACCATGCCCACAGTGATGACTGCTCTCCTGCCCTGTTCACCAGGAGGGACAGAGGGCTGAGCACAGGGCCTTACTCACCTGGACCAGCTTGTCAGAGCAAAACCGTCTATGCCGCTCGTTTGAAAATTCTGCCAGCCTCGTTATTTCACCTTCTCCATTGGCAGAGGTACGTTTGGATTCAGGGCTCCTGGCCCCACCTCCCTTCTCAGGAGTATCACTCGAAGCCTCCTGGCTGAGGGGCCCTTCTTCCCTGTGCCCCCAGGTTGGACCTTCCCTTCGTTTGTCCTTCTCTGGAGACTGTGGCTTCGACCGGAAGCAGCCTCATTCTTTTTCTTTCCTTAGTTTCTCAACTGTCCTTTCAAACAAACAGGGAGAACAGGGCCTCTGGTCCTGGTACCTGGTCCCAGCCAGAGATACACCCTCCCTCTCCGAGGGTTACAAGGTGGTGGCAGGCTGCTAAGACTCCAGGCAGAGGGAACCTGCAAGCTTATCACACAATCATAAGCTCCGCTTCAGTAGAGCAGATCACTGGAAAAGGACCTGATTTAAGAGACCAGAGCCTATATTTAAGAGTTGAATCTCCAGTCTAAAAACAGAGGACAGAGTGAGTTTTTGTTGTTGTTGTTGTCTTAAATATGTTTTTTATTGATCTTTAGAGAGAGAGGAAGGGAGAGGGATAGAGTAATAGAAACATCATCAATCAGCCGCCTCCAGCACTCTACCCATTGTAGGTGGTGCCTGAGCATATGCTCTGACCTGGATCGAACCAGAGACATCTTGGTTCCTAGGTCGGTGCTCAACCACTGCACCACACTGGCCTGGTCAGAGGGCAGAGTTTAAACAGCCTTCTTCTTTGGGACTCAATCCCCAAACCAAGCTGCCACAGCCCAGCCCCCCTCCCAGAGCTCAAAAATGACTTACTAAAAATATAAAAGTTATTCCTTAAGTGATAAAAATCAAAATTAAAAACAAATGTATCAATAAAAAGAAAAACATCCATAGAAATAACTAAACTCTGGAAATATAGTTGCTTAAACGTTTGTATTTTTTATTGAAACTTTTTTTTCACTTCTGTCCGGTTACGACAATTAAATAGGAAAACCGCAATTACAATTCACAAACTGTGGCATGAAAAACAACACACATCCCATCACCCACCAGGAATGACACCGAGCCCTTTCCGTGTGTTTCAGTCATGGGAGTCCATCACACACGTGTCAAGTACGCGCACTGTCATTTTTTTCTTGGGAAGGGGAGAACATTAATCCCGGCAGCATGTTACAATTCTAGGAAGTGGTTCCAACAGCACAAGGTACAGAGAGAGAAACCATAACCAATGTGGAGTGGAGGGTGTGTCTGTGGGGGACCAGGGACAGCTTGGTGAGAAGACTCCCCATGTGCTCAGTGACCTGCCTGTCGCCTCAGCTGGCTGGGTCTTCCCAGGTGCTGATGGAGGGAAGGGCTTCCTGCACAGATGGTGACAGCTCCTCCCGGAGAGCAGAGTGCTTTCTGGATCTTCAACCCTCCCCCACCCTGAGGCCAGGTCTCAAGCTTTTCTGGAGCTGCTTTTCTGGACCCTCGACGGCACGGTCTTTTTACTTAGACACATGTGACCCCACGATTTCTTCTTACTCTGCTTCTCTAGGGTTCGGATGACAGCACAAAACATCACTTGTTGAAAAATAGGTATATTAAGAATGTGGGCACACACTTTGCAGGAGATGTCATCCAAAGGGGCACTTCTTTTTTTTTTTTTTTTTTTTCCATTTAATATGATTCCCTGGAGAATTAGCTCCAAGTCACACGCTTAAGAGTCTTTACAAAAATCCATCACTTTGACAGTTTAAGAACTGTCTCGTGCCAATTGGAAACTTTTACGATTCAATGGTCCATGAAGCAATTAAACATTAGCATTCGGTTGACACTTACACACGCACACACGCCCATGCACACGCACGAGAACTGTGACAAAAGGCTCAACCAGACTGATTTTGTGACTGTTCCAAAGAGAGCAAAATCTCAATTTCGAGGGGTCACATTCAAGTATTTAAAAACGGAGAAACAGCCTGATTCCACGTGGTTTTCTGATCAGAAGAAATCACCCTTGTTTAACCAGAGATTCTGGAATTGGTAAAGTTAACTCCTGGGGCACAAAATAGCCCACAGAAATTGGCGTGTGGTTTTTCTGTGATGCAGCCGCGTGCCTGCTGAGACTTTGTGGCCTGTGGCATTCCAAGAGTTAATACTTTATGAAAGAATATGACCAGCTGATTCACTTTTCCTGCCTCGCACTGGTGGGAACAGTCTCTCACATTTTCGATCAGCATGCAGAGGAGGCAGATGCAAATGGTCCCTCACATCCCTCCGACTAGAAGGTGTTACTACGGCAGCAGATGCTGCGTGGCCTCAATTAGGAATCGAAGGGAAAGCAATTTGTTGGGTTTGCTTTTTTTTTTTTTTTTTTTTAAGTTTTGCTTCCTGGAGATTTTAAAACAAGTTTTACTAGTTCTTGGCAGGAGACCGACCAATCAGAGGCTCTGTGTTTATAAATAACCAATGGGGGGATTACGCTCTCCAATTAGGCCACTGACTCTCTGCAGGCCTGACAGCCAGATGTGGAGGCTTGCCAAGTGCTCTGCTCAGTTTCACAGACGCTGTTCCAGAAAAGAGAGCACTCACTCCAAGGGGTCTCTGCATGTTTCAGACCTGACTCCTGACTATCTTAAAAGCTACTGAAAGACTCAGGCCCTGCCAGGGTGGCTCAGTGGCTGAGCGTCAACCCATGAACCAGGAGGTCATGTGTCTATTCCTGAGCAGGGCACATGCCTGGGTTGCGGGATTCCTCCCCAGTAGAGGGCGTGCAGGAGGCAGCAGATCAGTGATTTTGTTGCATCAATGATGTTTCTCTCTCTCTCCCTTCCTCTCTGAAATCAATTTAAAAAAAATTTTTTTTTTAATTTTTTGAAGAAAGATCCAGGTTCTCAATGGACTCGCTAACACTTCGGCCTCCTCTGCTGAAGAACCCTGACCCCAGACCTCCAAATCACCATTGACCATAGATGGCCAGCGAGGAACACTGTGCTCGGCAGTAGTGACACGTGGCAGCTCACAGGCAGGACCTTTCATTAGAAGGAGAGGAGGCAGTGCCTGTGTGTACCTGATAGACCATTGGCAATCTCTACCAACCAACCCTTAACCCATGGCAGACAGGTATCTTTTTCCTTTTTTTTTTTTTTTTTTTTTTTTTAATCTGCAATGGATTACAGAATAAAGAATGAACAGAAAGGTCTTTTGCTAAAATAAGAAGCCAGTCCCATCTTGGCACAGTTCTCATGCGAATATTGCACCCAGTGTTAACTAATGCTAGAAGCTTCCCACTGTATAAATTTAAATGTATTTGCATATTATAAAAATAAAGATAAACATGTACATATTTTACACTAGTTTATACGGAACAGCAATGCATGGTAGGGCGCGCCCTCGGTCACAACTGGACAGAACTGAAATCTGAGTGCTCTAACTACTGCCACCTGCGCTGGAACTATGGCTTATATGTGCACAGAAAACAAAATCCCTGAGAAGCCATTTGACTTTTTTTTTTTTTTGTCTTTTCTTCAAGTAGCGCTCTCCTTGGAGGATCACAGTTCTGAGGTTCAGGTTGTAAAACACTTGCTCCACAGTCTTTCTCCCCCGACTTTCCCCTAGCCCTCCGCCAGCTTGTCTGCAGGCCAGGCGTGCTCCCTCCTCTGAGGGCACCCTGAGCCATGCCCCCAAGTTCAGGACACAATGGGAGTGTGGAGGGTTACCAGGTACGAAGCATGGTCTGGGTGCGTCTCTTCACGGAAATTCCACAGCAATAAAGGTCACTGGTTTCTGTGCTTTTCACCAACGTTCTTCCTATGTGGGTGGACAAGAAGAAAGCACAGCGATGACAACAGGCAATGGTGTTCTCAATGATAAACACAGGGAGCGAGACTCTAAATCTACTTTTGCACAGGTTTTCATTTCTATTTTTGGAGCGCCTTCTAGATGCCTAATAATGTTCCTACCAAGCAGAGTCCTTTCACAAGACACCTGTCGAACATTTCTGTGAAAGGAGGCTCAGACATAGAGACTAGACCAGTGGTCGGCAAACTGCGGCTCGAGAGCCACATGCAGCTCTTTGGCCCCTTGAGTGTAGCTCTTCCACAAAATACCACGGCCTAGGCAAGTCTATTTTGAAGAAGGGGTGTTAGAAGAAGTTAAAGTTTAAAAATTTTGGCTCAAAAGAAATTTCAATCGTTGTACTGTTGATGTTTGGCTCTGTTGACTAATGAGTTTGCCGACCACTGGACTAGACCAATGACAAAGAAGCACTCCACTGCAATCACACAGATCCCTGGATTTGTGATGAAGAATCCCAAACTCTAAGCATATCACGCCCCCTGACCAGGAACTCACAAGGACACACGCTAAATAACCCTCCAGGGGTAGGGATGTACACTAAAGAATAAGAAGGATTTTCTTCAAGTGTTATAAATGAGGCTGTTGAACTACACTCAGGTGTTGGGTGAATATAAAATGAAGAAGCTACTGTCTTCGGTTAAATGAAGTGACCTTCAATTCAGACAAAAGAGGAAAAATGGCAAATGTCCCCATCCCTTATTTCAGCTTTTCTACAAAGGCAAGCTGTGATGTTTTAAGAACTAGTTTAGCAACGTTTAAAAAAACATACACATACCTCCTCCCTCACCCTCCACCCTCCATCTCTCCTAAGGCTACTTGATTTTAAGGAAACTGATAATTCAGTATCTTCCTAAGACATCTCTCCGGCCCATACAAGAATCTGCTGAACATAATATTAATAATAATGTCACCAAAAACGGACACCTTCTATTTACTAACAACTCTCTACACGCCAGGAATAGGATTGTTTGCTCTAGGACAGTGGTCGGCAAACTCATTAGTTACCAGAGCCAAATATCAACAGTACAACGACTGAAATTTCTTTTGAGAGCCAAATTTTTTAAACTTCAACTTCTTCTAATGCCACTTCTTCAAAATAGACCCAGGCCGTGGTATTCTGTGGAAAACCCACACTCAAGGGGCCAAAGAGCCACGGTTTGCCAACCACGGCTCTAGAGCATTTTTTTCAGGAATCATCAGCTCAGCTCATCCTACCAGGCAAGCACCAGTTTCCCCTGTATTTTACCAAGAAGCGAACCAAGGCTCCACGTGGTTAAGTAACTTGCCTGAGGGTCCACACCAGAGAGCAGCAGAGCCAGGCCTTCAAAGGAGTTACCTGACCCCAACCAGAACTGGACGGGTTAGAATATTCAGGGCCCCAGGACAGTCTCCGGTTTCTATGGCACTCCGCCGGAGGCCCCTCTGAAGGCCTGTTCATACAGTAACTTCGCAGGAGAGAAAGATCGGAAGACCGCCTGAAGTTCAGGTCATAATACAACACATCTCACGTAAAGAGGATGGCCCCGTGAAAACACACGTTTCAACCACACAGTTAGCTTCGGAGCTGGGAGATGTGGGTTTGTGCGAGAGAAGTGCTATGTAAATGTTTTGTTCTCAGATCCAAGGACCTGCGGAAATGCTGACAGCTGGGTCTGGCCATCAGCTCCCCTGAGCCACACATGAGATTGAGAAACACCAGAGTCGCTCATCAGGGGCACCTCCAGGGAATACTCCAGCGTGGGAGGGAGTGAAAGGAAAAAGCGGTGTGCACACTGCCCCACATGAATACCACTCTTCACGTTCGGGCTCTTAGAGAGAAAAAAATCCTTCGAGTCACCGCTTCCCCATCTCAGTTAGCTTGTCCTCACCCATCAATCAAGACGCACTCAAGTTCCTAGAACTTCTCCCAGCTCTGGCTGGTGGTGGTCTTTCTTCCCTGTGCCTACAGGACTGCTGATACACCGGTCAGCAGGTATCGCATTTTGGTTGTAATTACAAGACTGTCTGGTTGTAGCTCTGGTTCTCATTCTCCCTCTAGGAGGCTATTAGGTTCTTGAGGGTAGAGTCTAACTCAGTTATTTCTGCATCAACACCTGGCACAATGCCTAGCAGAGGTTAAACACTCAACAAAGACCTGCTGGATGAATGATTAATAAGATGGGATGAAGAAGTCAGAGGTAAAAAACAGCCAAGCTACTGTGAGCTCATCAGAAGGCCTGACGGCTTTTCAGAGATGACACGGGCCTGGGCCTTAGGAATCATGGGCCTTCAGTGGGTGGGAGGGATGGGGACGGGGGGTGGGGGGACAGCCAGCTGAAGACTGAGACCCAGCCAGGGACGCAGAATGGCTGACCCCTCCCTCAGTGAGAGGGTATCACACATGTCTGATTGTGAGTCATGCCCAGGATCTGAACCTGAGACTATAATCACTAGGAAGCCATTCTAAGCTTTTTGACCGGGAGAGATGGAACAGGGTCTCACACTTGAGCTGAGACTTAATCCCAGAAATCCTGGCAAAGACAGGTGGGTCTAAAGAACAGCGTGGGCCAAAGAGAAAGTCCCACAGCGGGATTCACTCCTGTTGAGACACGTGGATATGACCGCAGAGGGTCTGCACCTGGAGAAGAGGCACAGCGCTGAGGCTGACAGATCCCTAGCTTCATAGATGGTGCAAAGCTAGAGTAATTCACAACCATGAAGCATACCTCCAAGGGGGTTGCCAGTAGGAAGTTGGAAACAGAGGCCTGGAGAAGGGAGAGATCAACTTGGGGGCGGGGAGGGTGTCTTAGACCCAGCATCCTCTTGGGTTTTTGATAAGGTGACCAGACATTCCGCTTTTAGCGGGACAGTCCTGATTTTTAACAATTTGTCTCATGGTGTTTTAAAAAGTGCCGATTTTTGCCAAAAATCGAGACTTTTTTAAAACGCCGCGGGACACAGGACAAATGGTTAAAAATCGGGACTGTCCCGCCAAAAGCGGGACATCTGGTCACCTTAGTTATTGAACATGCATTCCTGGGATATGTGTTATTGAAGGTATTGAAGGCCCAAAACTGAAGCCACACCATGAGGTAGTAGCCGTGCCTTTGACTTCCTGTATTCTGAAGTTTTGGCATTGGGATCTTGCTGCTGCTGGAGGGTCTGCCCTCCCAACATGAGCCAGTTGCCAGAGATGGTAAACAACTCAAACGTGAGTGTACTTCTCACATGCAAACCAGAACCCACCACCTCCTCACCCTCTGGGCCACCATCCACCTGCCCCGAACACGGCAAGGGTCCCAGACAACCAGGAACAGTCCTATGGCCCAGAGCCCCCCAAAACTACCCACACTGGCCTAAGCCTGTCCCTCTGCCTTCCCACAGAAACCACAAGACAGGCCCTTGCCCAGTTCCTCCCTCCCTCTCTGCCTCGTGACCGACCCGGTGATTCCCCATGTAGCTCCCCGCCCCGACCCCCCACGGCATGCCTGTCCTCTAAGGAAATGTGAGTCATCAACTATCTGTTCACTGGCAGCCGTTTCCTGATCTGTTGGCCTTACTGTATCTCTGATGTTCTATTAATATGCTACCAGTATAGTTTGAAACAAACGTGGAAGGAAGAGCTTGCTGTGAAAACAGCCCTGACTGGGAGCCATGATGCGGACTGCAGCTTAGCGGTGCACTCAGGAACTGTGCTGCGGGCTCAGTGCTTACAGGGCTGCTGGGAGGAGCGAGGGAGTTGGGGTCCCCTCTGAGGAGTTTATCCAGTCACAGCAGGCCCGTGTGACCACACACGAAAGACATGCTACCTACCGCTCATCTCTTTAGCTCCTGAAGCCTGGGCCGGGTATTGATGCCCCCCGGTAACTGCAGGCGGCTTTACCCACAGGTTCCCGTGCATTCTATCCGGGCCCCTTCATGGGCAAGGAAGGGAAGGGAGGCCCACAACCTCACCCACCTATCCCGCACTCCTGTGTGCCTTCCCTGAGCAGGCACCTCCACGAATAAGTCAGAGGGTGGATTTTACTCAAGTATCTCTATGTGTCTTATGAAACTTTTTCATTATTACCTGTATGTGCCATCCCCAGTGCACACCACTAATAATTCTGAGTAGAAATAAGAGCGACTGGATTTACTGAGCATTATTTACTCAGTGCAGGGAACAACACTGAATGTTTTCCCTGTGACAGTCTCCCTCAATGCTCCCAGGAACCCCAGGAGATGAGCACTTCCGTATTCTGCGTCTGACAGATGCTACCTCACAGCTGAAACTAGTCAAGGCGGGAAGATTCCAACTCAGGAAGTTAATTCCAGAACCCACCAAAGTGCCCTGAGAAAATAAATACAAACACTGCTCTTAGGAAGCCATAGGCTGTGCTGATCAACTGAGCTTTTCCTGATGTTATCATCTTGCCTAATATTGCAGTGATTTTTTTTTTTTTTTGGGGGGGGGGATGACTTCTTTTTTCCAGTAAGGATCTGATGACTGATATATGCGGTATTTCAGAGAATTGGGTGAAAGAACCAAGCCCTTTCCTTCTCCTGAATTCCCATGTGGGTGTAGAGGGCCACCCAGGGAAGGCACATGGGCATTTTCCTTCAATTGTCAGCTGAGTCCGAGACAACTGGCAGAGCCGAGGCTCAGAAACACATTTCCCCAAGATGGCGGAAAGTGTAATCAGCCTGGCCTTCATATCAGCCCAGGTGTCGGCAGGGGCAAGTCTAAATATGTAAATTCAGGCAAGCTAGGGCCTACTTAAGAATGCAAATAAGCTTCTTTGATCCTAAGTTGTGGTGTTATGTCTGGTGTTGGGGGTATAAAATAAATGTGCTGGGAGGGGTTGTCATTATCTTGCAGCCTCTCCATCAGAGAGGAAGGATGGCGTCCCACCCAGCTCCCAGCTTTAAATCTACTTCTGCGTCTTCTTTCTTTATTTCTATTATTTCTCAATCCCTGGCCGCCTCTCTCTTCCCACGCTGGACGTGGAGAAGGGAGATTCCTGCCATGTCTGGCCCCCGCCGCGTCAGGCCCCCACACGTGGGTCTTGATTTCTGGAGAAGTAAAAGGTGTGTCATCCGTCCTTCTCTATACAATTGTTCCATCCCAAACCCAATCCCCCCACTTCCCCTAAACTCCCTGAGTCGGCCGTTCAGAAACCCTCTCTGCTTCGCAGACACTTACCCTTAAACACTGGTGCTCCTAAAGTCAGAGTGGGCACAGTAAAAATGGTGGCATGGGGGAAAGGAGCACTATCTTTTCCACTTAATTTTCCAAGAAAGGATGGAGATACCTAAGCAGAGAGGGAACAAACGCCAGTATCAATGTGGCTGACGGGAGACTACGTCATCCAAGAAACACGACTGCTCCTCGCCTGTAAAAGTTGCGAGGCCAGGAGTTGCCTTCCTCTGGCAAAGAACATCAACCTGCTCCAGCCTCCGCATGCAGCCTGCCCCGCCCTCCGCATTTAAAAAATGCCGTCATCAGTGGAAAAGTCTCCGCTGTGATAAAGCCAAATCTCTCTCATCTCATTGTTTAGGAGAAATTTTTTTTTATCAGGTTCATATTAAAGAATCTGAGTGCGATTAAACACACTTTGCCTGTTTATTTGGTGAGCTACACAGGCCCCAGGGTCTTCATCCTACTTTTTATAAAAGGCTGTTTCAATTGGTCTTAAATGTCCTTATGTCATAACAATGTACCTGCCAACATTCCTCTGCAATGTGATCACTATATTTTTGAGCATACTTACAACAGTGCACAACTGGAATTTTCCTGAGATCTTGCATGAATGGAACGCTACACTATATACACAATAGCGCACGTTGAAAAGGCAGCTTTGAAATGCGGCACCTCAACCTTGCTTCCTATTATCGGTAGTACTTTCTGGAAAAGGAGGAGGCTCAGCCCATCAATTTTCAAACAGGTCCATTTTTTTTTTTTCTCACTTGGTAACACACGACCTGCCAAAACCAGGATGAAGGCCCTTTTTCAGTGCTGCCACCCCGCAAATGACGGAGCCCAGACAGACAAGGACCAGCACAAGAGAGATGGCAGCTGTCGGGAAATAAAAATGATAGATTCCCATTTCCTGTACATTCAAGGAGCAGTCCATTAACAAACCACAGGAAAGAATGTGGGCTGCACTCCAGTGCGGAAGGTCAAGCATTTTCACATGCTAACCTGTTGAATTCTACCTTTCACATGAAAATCAGGTGATACACTGGTGGTGTCTGGCTGGGGTGGCGGGGGGTGGGGGGACGTTGTCCTACATTTCTTTGGAAATGAGGAAGAGAAATAAATATCTTGCAGGGAACCTAACAATGAAAGGCACAGGTTGCTCTTTGCTCAACGTTTGCACCTTCCCTTCAGAATCAGAGTTTTAAGAGGCTCAACATGCATAGCAACAGGATGGAGACGGGGATTCACAAATAAACACTTTTTCAATAAAATTTAACCATTATCCATCTCCTTTCTCCTTTCTTTTTTGACCGAAAGTATATTTTTGTCCCTTATGACTCCTAACACCCAAGGCTCAGCATCCCTTTAAGGCCTGGGGCCGGCTGGGCTGCCACTCAGGAGCCCTGAAGGGTAAACATATGAGAGGGGATGGGTGTGTTCCTTCACCAGATGCCTGCCAACTTTCACAATGTGCACCAGGGTGCAAACTCTAAACATCTTACAGCTTTAGGTGCCAATCACACCTCAATGAAGCTGAAAAGACCAAGATCAGTGTGTGCCAAGGGTTAAGGAGGCGGGGCACAGAGAAGTTTCAGGGCAAAAAAATCCCATATACGATACTGTAACATGTATGATATATGTCACCGTACACTTGTCCAAACCCACAGAATGCACACCACCGAGTGAACTCCAACATACACTGTGGACTTGATGATTACTTGTCAGCAGTATCAAATGTGCCTTCTGTGGGGGGGAGGGTGGGGGGAGGCCGTGCGTGTGTAGAGGCAAAGGGCGTATGGGATCTCTCTGTGCCTTTGGCTCAATTTTGTTATGAACCTAAATGGCTCTAAAAGATAAAACCTATGTTTGAAATTGCTACCTAGACTAAAAAAGAAAAGCAAAAAACAACTTCTAAAGGAGGCTGATTTCCCTCCAAGAAGCTCTATTTCCCCTCTTTGTCCAGTCAACTGGTGGGGGCCACGTCCACTCGCTGCCTTTAGACTGCAGGGGACAAGGGATGACGTGTTTATCAGCATTTCGTTAAAACTACAAACATGTTTTAATACCATCACCACCGGCAGCAAAGCCATACCCGAAAGGCCTACTGAGATGTGTACTGACTGCAGGGAGCTAGGTGTTATATCAAACACAAGCATCACACATGGGCCGGAAGTTTCTCTTTGGAGTGTTGAAAAATGTTCTAAAATTAGACTATGTTGTCAGTTGCAAGTATCTTCATAGTCTCTCAAGGGGCCAGTTTTATGGTGCGAAAGTCTACCTCCATGGAGCTTTAAGAAACGTACCCTTAAGAAGGTCAGCATTTTTTAGAGCAACCCAGCCAGCTTGCTGCTGGATAAATTTTCATCTCATCTCAAATGCAAATCTTGGAACATCAGCTCCAAAGGGCAAAAGTAAGGAAATGACTTGTAGCTCTATCTGATAACCAGCCCCCTGGGGGCGTCCTCTGGAGGCTGAGGTGCAGAAACAGAGGCTGCACTTCATTCCTGTCAGGACAGGTACCCTCTCCCCAGGGCAATGTCTGTCCAGACCTCAGCCACCCACCACAGAGACCAGTCAGGAGGGTAAATCAGTCCCTGTTCTTTGTTCTCTGTCCCTCCCGACTCAGGAATGAAACACCTAGAACATTTGTAAATGAGCAACGGAAAAGCTTAGAATTCATAAGGAATATCCGATCAAGTAACAGTCCTCAGTGGATTTTTTTTTCATAAAGCTCACTGAACACCGCCGCTGTACGCATCCATGGTCAAAGGCAGGCAGCTGCGTGGCCAATAAAGGGAAGGAGTAAACTGGTCAAAGAAGAGCTTGGCATGTCTTTTTAAAAACCACCTACGGTCTAGACCCGTGACCCGAGAGCAGGTGATTACTCTGGTGTGCCTGGGACAGCTCTGGACGATGCCTGGAATTCTGGTCGATGCCTGGCATTCTGGTGAATAGCCCTCCTGCTACCCTCCATCCTTCCCGGATGTGAACAACAAATTACGTTCAGCTCTGAAGGTGAATGGGAGGTGGAACGGGTGTGCTCATCCAGGCAGCATGGCTCTGTGTTGCTCGGTGAGGCCCCCGGGCCAGGGGCCCACCCGTAGAGCCAGCCATCCATCCACCTGCACCCTATGGGCTGACAGAAGTCACAGTTCGCTCTACAGTGACCTGCTGCTTACGTTCACTGGAGCTGCAAGGCCAGTGCAAGAGCCCCCCAACTCCCCACCCCATCTTCGTCTCCCCGTTTCTCCTGCCAGTTTGGGCCCCAAGTCTAATGCTCAGGCTCAGCCCACGGCTGTGTTGACGTAACAGCCATCTCCTATGACAGCTTCCCTCACCGTCTCCTAAATCGCCTGCTTCCACTATATTGTCATCTACTAGTAAGTGAGAGCTCCCACTGGGCCTGGCCTGGATGTGTTTTGTTTTCACAGATTTCCTTCGTTTAGAATAGAGACCTGCACTCCAAACCCGCCACCCACTGTAGAAGGCCCTAAAAAAAAAAAAAAAAAAATCCATTTCAAAATAAAACCATTCACAGTGCGAGGCCAACAGCGGTCCAGTCCTCAAGGCATTCCCCTCCAGCATCTAGATGTCTGAGGCCAGGGCCGGCTCTGATTACGTGGGGCTGTAAAGAGCTGTTCATTTAGGAATAATAAGCTGTGGGAGAGACGGGGCTGATAGCATTTTTCCAGGACGGTGTGAGTGTCTTGCAGTGGCAGTACAACAAGAAGCCCCTGGGAAAACGCCGATAACGCTGGCTCCGGGCCACTGCGGTTTCTCCTGCAAATGGATCTGTAAATCCCAGCTCTCTCCTGCCTATTAAATGCCACGTGGCTGGGGCGAAACAATAGGCTAAAACCTCTCCCGGCTCAGGGACGTCTACACCGATGCAAAGTGTATTGTACAACGGTTTCTCTCCCTCCCACTCCCCGCTGTTTCTGTACGGTCCCCTTGTCCTCACACCACTGGATCTGAAAGAAAGGGACCAATTCAGAAACCGGGAACATGTCTGTAGTTTGATAGGCTCAGGACTGGAGAGTTTCTAGTTAATATGAAGTTCCTGTGTGATTCTACTTAATATGTAGGTAAGAAGCACTGCAAGGTCTGACAATGTCTTAGGGGCATATGAGTGAGGCATGACACTCTATTCGTGTGAGCTAAAACAGCATTCTGAATATAATGCCTTACATACGCGTTTCTTTGAGTGCTCCTGTTTCGCAGGAGAGCCGACACCCTAGGGACACAGCTCTCCCCAACACAGCCTGACAGCAAGCTTCTCCAGAGGAGATGACCATCCTCAAATGTGAACTTCCCAACCTCCCTGTAAAAAGCTTATATATTGGGGCGGGGGGGGGGGGGGGGGAGATCTATGTGGTCAACTAGGAGGAAAAAAGTAGGTTTCTGGCATGAATACTTTGCTGAAATGACAGCACCCAAGATACCAGATCTGCTCAGGAAGACAAGTTTTATGGTAAGAATGCATTTCATCTTAGTTAAAAAGTGAAGCCACTTTTCAATACCACTGAAAAGGAAAAAAAAAGGATGAACTTTATCTATACTAAGCTAACATTGCATCCAAAAGTTAATTCAGCCCAGTTTGGCTCAGTGGATAGAGAGTCGGCCTGCAGACCAAAGGGTTCGATTCTGGTCAAGGGTATGTACCTCAGTTTGATTGCAGGCTCCTCCCGAGCCCAGGCCCTGGTCGGGAGGCAACCAGTGGATGTGTCTCTCTCACACCGATATTTCCCTCTGTCTTTCCCTCTCTCTCCCACTCTCTCTAAAAATCAATGAAAAAAATATCCTCGAGCGAGAATTAAAAAAAAAAGTTAATTCACACAGGTGCATTCTCTGTCTTTAAGTCCCTTTGGGGGAAGATGAGAGCAGACAATACAGACTCTGACTACCAAGGACTGACACAGAACCAAAGGCCCAGAGGAAAATTAACTCGCTGCGGCTTTTCCGCAAGCTTTTCTTATGGAACGGGCCCTCACTGTTCCTTGAAGCAAGGGCCCACTTACCTCTGCAATGGCAGAATTAAGACTACCCATGAAAACAATGCTTTTTAAAAATTGCGTTTAGCTGCAAAAATGAATTACACACTTCTGATGAGTGAACTGAATGGCATATAAATAATATCTCAATAAAGCTATCATTAAAATATTCTGCCTTTTTTTTTCCCAGCAGAAGCTTAAAAATAATCACAAATAAGAAAAAAATAAAAGCACGGTGTTGGCATCACCTAGATAACTAGGTCTGTTCTGGGGGCTGGGGGGAATACTTTATAAGGTCTGAGATGTACTTGAACTCGGCTTTTTGTGATCACAACTACGGAGGCAGGATCCGGAGGGAGGGGCAGGGGCCACCACGTTGGGAACTCACTTGGAACAGGGGCTGATCACAGTCGGCGTAGGTGGGTAAACCAAGGCAACATTCACTCGCTCACTGCCGTTCTTGGGGCAAATGATCTCCGCCACTCCTTCGGGTCTGGGCTGGCTCAGCAGCTCCCCTGCAGGAGGAGAGAGAGAAATGCACGAATGAGATCTGCCTTAACAATGGGACCATCTGGCAGAGGAACTGAGCTGGGGATGAAGGAAGCAAGGAGATGGCAGGTAGTGGGGAAGCCCACGAGTGCCTGAACAAATATGCAAGGAGGACAGCAGCCTTGGCTCTGCGCCCACCTGCGCTGCCGAAATTCTCATCTGCATCACCACGGGGAACGTGCTGAGGGCTGTGGCAGGAAGGCCATCATTCCAGACAAAGGCAGCATCTGCCACTAGTCCCCTCACCTTCCTTTTCACAGACTGACTCCCGGCATCTTTAGCCACACGTCAGACGAACAGAGCCAGGATCCCCAGAGCCCAGAGAAGCTGCCAAGGAGGCAGTTGTGCACCATGAGGACGGGGCAGATGGGATGCGGGCGGAGGGAGCAGTCGGTCCACAAAGCCCCACACAGATGACCTGGAAAGGCGGCCACCGGAGGCGTTATCAAGGTGAACAGCCCGGCCTCGCACTGGCACGAGGATTTCCTGGGTAGGTCTGTGTGCGGATTTGAAAAGACCAACATAATACTATCTTGTTAGTATTGGGGTCTAGGAAACACAGATAATAAACATAATGGGTTCCCACAATACTCAAAGGAAACCTGTGTCCCCAGCACGCCCGGGATACAATTTCTCTCCAACTGGATCATTAAATCCCAAATCCCTAAGAGCCGGATGAAGGCTGCTCCTTAGCCCCCCCCCCCCCACTCCTTAGCCCCCCCCCTCCCCATCCAGCAGCACTTTCTCGGTTGTCATGGCCAGCACAGCGCTCTCACTCAGTACAACCACACACTCCTAAGGGCATGGTGACAGAATTCTTAGGATTTAAGAAATGTGCCGAATTGCTAAATTAAGAAAATAACAGAAACAGCTTTTTCACCCCCCCCCCCCACCCCCAAAACCCATCTTAATCACGAGTGCAAAGAGTGGTTCGTAACATGAGCTATCTGCTAAAATAGAAGCTCGTCGTCTCAAGTGTCTTTAACACAAATTTGATTTTAAACCAAAGCGCAGCCTCTCCCTGAATATTTACATAGAGAGACGGTGCTGTGTGTGAGAAGCTGCAGGAGACGCAGGAGATAAGGAGTCTAAGGCAGGGTCTCTCGTATGGAGGGTCAGTCCTGCATGATGGGTGCACGCAGCCCAAGCGCCCATCAGCGCTACAAAGGCTGTGGCACATTTACACCATGGACCACTGCTAAACAAAAGAAGGAGGTCTTACCCTAGTGACAACAAGGATGGACCTGGAGCGCATTATGCTAAGTGAAATAAGCCAGTCAGAGAAAGACAGTGCCCTACGATTTCACTCACATGTGGAATTTGATGAACAAAATAAACTGACAAAATAGAAACAGACTCATGGATGAAGAGCAGACTGACAGCTGTCAGAGGGGAGGGGGGTTGTGGGGCTGGGTGGAAGAGGTGAAGGGGTTGAGGAAAAGAAGCATGAACACTCATAGACACAGACACAAGCATGGTGGTGACCAGAAGGGGAGGGGGTTGGGAGACGGGGAGAGGGAGGAGAGCTAAGAGGAGGTAGAAGAGGGTACAGGGAGGGGAAATGGTGACTGAAGGAGACTAGACCTGGGTTGGTGAATACACGATACAACATACAAATGAGGTGTTATAGAACTGTATCACTTTATTATAACCAATGTTACCCCAATAAATTTAGTAAAAAAAAGTAGGCCTTGCTTTCTGACAAAAATTATACAATGATTACTCCTAGCAACACTATCCACAACACTGAAAACTTGATAACCCTCTCAGATGTCCAACAACGGGGACATGACAAACTATGACCCGCGAATCAGATAGAATTGTCTGTGCTCACAAAAAACTCCGAGACTGACACTTCAATGTGGAAATGTAAACTTGAAAGTACATTCTAATTAGAAACATAAATTGACAAAGCACACACAGGAACTCGGAGCGAAATGGGTCATTCAAGACCAAGAGGCCCTGGGGTTGCCGGCTTGTTTATTTTTACGTGGAGACGAGAACAGAGTCCGCCTCACACTGAAGGGAGAGGCCAGTGCTAAGAGCCAATGCTTTCGCCTCCGCAGGAAACTGTCTGGTCATGCACAACGTACAATGAACGCAATGGAGATGCAGACACTGGGCCTGATAAACAGACCCCTCCATTAGCTGGAGCTGTGTTAGGCCACTGAACTGCCTCCTTGTGCCCGTTAACGTTATGAAAAACTGTTCTTACTTGCTCTCGCTCAAGATTGCTGGCATTAAAATGTGAGCAAGCCCTTATCAACTGTGTTGCCCCCTGTGAAAGAGCAGAACACCACATTTTATTACGGTTTTTCAAAGTAAAGTCAACAGAAGATAAAGTAAAATGAGCTCAGCTTTTTCCCTCCCTCATCAGAACTCTCCAATATTAGGCACATGATGAAAATACTAAAAATGTATCACACTGACAACCCAAACCACAATATTAAAAGCCCCAAATCTTGCTTTTTAGTGCAAATCAAAAAACCTACTTCCTGATGCAGGATAATGATGTAGGTTGTGAACATCCCTCCAAACAGCAAAAGGAGTCTTAAAACTAATCAAGTATAAAGATACTATTAAACAAGACAGTATCTGGGTATCTTTCAGGCCTCTTTCAGCTCCAATGCTGTAAAACTCATACCCTCTAGCCCCAAGGCCCACTCCTGCCTTTTAATTAATTTAATTCAGTGAGACTCTGGATGTAGCTGGAATGAGGTACACGGATGCATCTTCCATGTCTCCTCGGGGCAAAGGCAGCATCCACTGCAACCAGTGAGCAGGCAGGTTCCCCGCTCCGAGAGCCCAGCATCACCGGGGGCTTCACGCACTGGAGAGCTCCTCGGTCCCTATTGTGTGGAACAGGAAAGCCAGAGACAAAAGGACACCTTGTCTGTTTAAGACAAAAGAAAGCCCATCCCTGACTGGTTTGGCTCAGTGGATAGAGCATCAGCCCGCAGACTGAAAGGTCCCAGGTTCGATTCCGGTCAAGGGCATGTATCTTGGTTACGGGCACATCCTCAGTAGGGGGTGTGGAGGAGGCAGCTGATCGAAGTTTCTCTCTCATCGATGTTTCTAGATTTCTATCCCTCTCCCTTCCTCTCTGTAAAAAAAATAAAAATAAAATAAAAAATTTAAAAATAAAAATAAATAAAGCCCAGAAAGCAAATACAAAGGAGTAGAAATACAAGGGAGTAGTAAATACAGAACGTTAACATCTTCCATTTAACACCGTGTCACGGCATCTGCTGGTTCCAACGTCGCCCACTGTCTACAGAAGGAGCTGCCCAATGCGCTCCAGGGTGGGTCCCAATTCCGGCTCCTCCTGGCACCACCCCGGTGCTCCCTCCGGACCACGGCTAAATAAACCGAATAAGTAGGCCAGGTTGTACTTTTGCATAGTCTTGGTTTAAAAAAATACTCCACTGTGTGAAGGGACTTGGGTCTCGGCCCTCGATGATGAACGGTAACTTTTTTTGGAAGAGAAAGTGATGGCAGGAAGGAGCAGAGCAAGTCTGTGTAGAGAGCAGAAACAGGTCTGGGCCTTGGTCGCCGAGCCCAGGGCTGTGCCCATCTCGGACAGTCAGAAGTAAAAGCTATGCATAATCTGAGCCCTAGCTGGTTTGGCTCAGTGGACAGAGCACCAGCCTGTGGTTCGGTTCCGGTCAAGGGCACATGCTTGGGTTGCGGGCTTGAACCCCATTACGGGACATGCAGCAGGAGGCAGCCAGTCAATGATTCTCTCTCATAATTGATGTTTCTATCTCTCTTTCCCTCTCTTCTTCCTCCTCTGAAATCAATAAAGATATATTTAAAGAGAAAACAAACTAGTATGCATAATTTGGAAATAACTTGTAAAAATGTTTTTTAAAAATATCCAAAAAGTTGCAGGTCATGAAATGCCATGTAAAAATATTTTCTATCAGACTTAAACTAAAGGTGACGTTTAAAAGAAAAGTTTAAATGCAAATGAATTAAAGTAATACAACTTTGGAAGTGTTTTAAGAAATTTTACCATAACCTCTAAGTAAACAGCAGATATCAATAACTTGGAGCCAGGAAGTACTTCATTGGCAAAAGACATCCTGGTATAAATCAGAGGAGAAATGAAAGGGGAAAATCCTATGTCCCAGGCCTATGCCCCAGGCCTGGCTCTGCCACTGAATTCACTCATTCATGCAACAGCTGCAAACCAGCCCCTGACGAATGTGAGGCAGGCACCACTGCAGAATGAGAGAAGGGCAGGGAATAAGTACACAAAGATCCCTGATTTCATGGAGCTTACAGTCTACAAAGAACACTAGTAAAAAACAATCTGCATAACTGATAAAAACTTATTATCCAGCCTGGCCGGTATGGCTCAGTGGCTGAGTGCCAACCAATGAACCAGGAGGTCATGGTTCGATTCCCGGTCAGGGCACATGGCCAGGTTTCAAGTTCCATCCCCAGTAGGGAGTGTATAGAAAGCAGCCGATCAATGATTCTCTCTCATCATTGATGTTTCTCTCTCTCTACCCTTCCCTTCCTCTCTGAAATCAATTTTTAAAAATGTATTTAAAACAAAAAAAAATTGCCGAAACTGGTTTGGCTCAGTGGATAGACTGCACATGTGTCAAACACAAGGCCCGCGGGCCAAATCCGTCCCGCCAGGCCTTGCAATGTGGCCCGCACCGCGCTGTCATCACTGCACTCCGCTGTGTTTCCATCACAATGACAGTTTATGACTGTTCAGTAAACCATTCGGCCCGAGATTTAGGCTGGATTTTAGATTTTGGCCCCTTCTCTGATTGAGTTCGACACCCCTAGGATAGAGCGTCGGCCTGTGGACTGAAGGGTCCCAGGTTCAATTCCGGTCAAGGGCATGTACCTTTGTTAAGGGCACAATCCCCAGTAGGGAGTGTGCAAGAGGCAGCTGATCAATGTTTCTCTCTCATCAATGTTTCTGACTATCCCTCTTCCTTCCTCT